AAGGAGGTCCCAGCAAGATCCAAAAAATTCGGCTGCCTTCTGGAAGGATTTCCTTTTGTGTCCTCTATTCAGCCTCCATCGGTTGTTTGGTTTGGTTTGGTTGTTTTTCTTTCTTTCCAAAAGGAGGCTTGATTGTTTTGCATAAAGTCACCCAGGCAGCTGCATTAGGCTGGGCTTATTTTTTTTTTTATTTATTTAGCTTTTATCAGGACACAGTTAGCTGGGTCTCCTTGACTGCTGGTTGGAGGTGGCCAGCTGTGCTGGCAGCTGCTGCCAAGATTCAAGGTGATGGATGTCGTTAGCCTTGAGCGAAACCAGTTCCCAGGCCCTCCAAAAAGAGGCTGCTGCACCTTCTCTGGAGCAGAGAGATAAGGCACAAATGCTTTGTATTTCCTAGGAAATTCAATTAAAAAGAAAAGGGCAATATATAAATATATATTTATGAAAGCACATACTAACCTTTTGTGAGAGTCAAGAAAAGCCGCCAAACACAGGGCAGGCTGGAGAACCACGCCCTGTGCCCACGTCCTCCATTTAGAAAGCAGAAACTCAGGGAGCCAAACCTTCTGCCTTGCCATGTTCCTAGTCCTTAATGTGGAGCGTTTGAAATTTACGGAGGCCTGCAAGAGCAGTTAAAGGCGGGCCAGAAGGATTGAATTCGGTTTTTATTTTTGCTTCATCCGTTCCTCAGGTTAATTCCAGAGGCCCCAACTTAAATAAATGGAGGCAACTTAAATAAGTGAGTGTGTGTGAAAGGGGGAATATTTTGGCTCTCTGTCTTTAAGAGGATTAAAAGGTGCAAGATTGCTGTTTGTTTTTAATCCAGGTCAGTGTTTCCACTCTTGGGACCCCTTCCCAGTTTTAAAAGTCATGGAGGACCCCAAACAGAGCTTTTTGTTTGCATAGGTTATATTTATTGATATTTGCAGCATTAACATTTGTAGAAAAATTATTGATTAAATCCACTAAAAATGACTATGAAACTCAATTCAGTTTTAAAATCAATAAAATATTTCTTATGGGAAAAAAAAACCGTTTAAAAAAAAAAAAAACAATGAGAAGGCTGACGACATTTTACATTTTTGCAATATTTTCAGTATCCCACAAATCATCTTGATTTTCTGGGCCCTTAAGTGAGTTTTGGGAGATGTTCAGGGATCCTTTGACCATACTTTAAGAAACACCATTCTAGTGAGTTCAGAAATGGCATATAATAATAATATAATAATAATAATAATGATGATGATGATGATGATGAGGGGGAGGGGAGGGGGAAGAAGGAGAAGGGACCTTGGAGGTCATCTAGTCCAACCCCCTGCTCAGGCAGGAAACCCTACACCATTTCAGACAAATGGCCGTCCTGTCTCTTCTTAAAAACTTCCAGTGTTGGAGCATTCACCGCTTCTGGAGGCAGGTCGTTCCACTGATTAATTGATTAATTGTTCTCACTGTCATTTAGGGGGAAACAATGTACAGTTAGTCCTCTACTTATGACCACAGTTGAGCCCAAAATTTCCATGGCTAAGCAAGATAGCTAAGTGAGTTTTGCCACATTTTATGACCTTTGTTGCCATAGTTATTAAGTGAATGACATGGTTCCAAGAGCCCAAATTTTGATCACATGACCATGGGGAAGGCTACAATGGTCGTAAGTGTGAAAACTGGCCATAAATGACTTTTTTCAGTGCTGTCGTAATTTTGAACGGTCGCTAAGCAAACGGTTGTAAGTTGAGGACTACCTGCAGAAGAGAGATATTCAGGTTTTCTGACTGTAGAACCTGAATTTTCTTGGTATAAGATTTTGGAATTCATACATATCCGTGTGATCTACAGCCATACAACAACAACAACAGCAATAATAGTAATAATAAAGTTGGAGGGGACCTTGGAGGTCATCTACTCCAACCCCCTGCTCAGGCAGGAAACCTTATATCATTTCAGGCAAATACAGGTCGTCCTTGAATTATGACTGTAATGGAGCCTACCCAGGGCAGTCATAACTTGTGGCAGTAAAAGAAATTGATCGTGTTGTTTTATGATTTTACAACCTTTTCAGTGTCGTTAAGCAAATCGCTGCAATCATTAAGTGACTGTCACAGTCATTAAACGAACTAATGATTCATTCTGGTCCCCGGTTTTGCTGAAAACGGGAAGGAAATGCCGTGTTTTGGCAAAAATGTCATAAAATATAGTTACACGAGCCCAAGAGGCTGCAAACAGCCATAAATTCAGGCACTGTTGCCAAGCGCCTCAACAGTCACTAAACAAGTAGTCGTAAGTCAAAGACTACTCAATCATCTGTTGCTGGTGATTTTTTCCCTCCTGCTTAAATGTATAGGTTGGGCAAAGGAATGCTTTTAATGAAAAGCAGGGAAAGTATTGTTCCCAGTAAATCAACGAACGCAAGAAGCAGTTTTGAGTGGCGGAATGACTTTTAACCCCTTGAATTCCTTTTTTGGTTCACTTTGGAAAGCAGAGACGGCGCGTGATTAAACTGAGTTTCATCCTGGTTGTGCGTAAAATCACGGCTTGGCTTTAACTTGGTTGAAAGCATTCTGGCACAGTCTACACAAAGTTGAATCTTAATTCCGTTCTCTCATGAATGCAGTTTTTGGGAAAAAGGAATTTCCTTCGCTCAAGGGAAAGCTGGTTTGTGGGCGGGGCCAAGAACCAGGGCAGGTATGACCAAAATCAATGTGGACATAGTATTTACAGCGGGGTCTTCAAACTTGACCCTTTTATGACTAGTAGACTTCAACTCCCAGAATTCCTCAGCCAGCAGGGAGGAACTATGGCCCCTTCATAACTTGCTGACTTCCTCCCAGAATTCCTCAGCCAGCATGAGGGAACTATGGCCCCTTCATAACCTGCAGAGTTCAACTCCCAGAATTCCTCAGCCAGCATGGGGGAACTATGGCCCCTTCATAACCTGCAGAGTTCAACTCCCAGAATTCCTCAGCCAGCATGAGGGAACTATGGTGATCTAATTAGAAAAGAAGCTTAATAATGAAGTGGATATTTAATTACCGTACCTTTAAAATTGCCAAGAAATGTATTAATTTAAGGTTGACAAAAGGGAATATTATTGGAAGAAGAGAAAATCAAGGAAAGCGACTATGTGGAATATGGAACTATAGAAACCAACTATTACTGATTATTTGTTAATGCAAACCCGGACAACACACTGTTTACCAAATATTATTATAATAATAATAATAATAATAATAATAATAATAATAATAATAATAATAATAATAATAATAATAATAATAATAATAATAATAATATAAAAAGTTGGGAGGGACTTTGGAGGTCATCTAGTCCAACCCCCTGCTCAGCCCCTGCTCAGGCAGGAAACCCTATCCCATTTCAGACAAATGGCTGTGCAGTCTCTTCTTAAAAACTTCCAGTGTTGGAGCATTCACAGCTTCTGGAGGCAGGTTGTTCCACTGGTTAATTGTTCTAACTGTCAGGAAGTTTCTCCTCAGTTCTAGGTTGCTTCTCTCCTTGGTTAGTTTCCATCCATTGCTTCTTGTCCTGCCTTCAGGCGCTTTGGAGAATAGCTTGACACCCTCTTCTTTGTGGCAGCCCCTGAGATACTGGAACACGGCTATCCTGTCCCCCCTCGTCCTTCTCTTCATTAAACTAGACATACCCAATTCCAGCAGCCGTTCCTTATATGTTTCAGCCTCCAGCCCCCTAATCATCTTTGCTGCTCTTCTCTGTACTCTTTCTAGAGTCTCAACATCTTTTTTACATCGTGGTGACCAAAACTGGATGCAGCATTCCAAGTATGGCCTTACCAAGGCATTGTAAAGTGGTATTAATACTTCACGTGATCTTGATTCTATCCCTCGGTTAATGCATATTGAGGGGGATATGTAAAAAAAACAAAAACCAATAAAACATTTTTTTTAAAAAAAAAAGAAGTTTGCCAAAGATGATCACATATGTTCCCGGGATACTGCAATCGTTATAAATACAGGCCAGTTGCGAGGCGTTCCAGTTTTGATCACATGAAAACAGGGATACTAGTTGTAAGTGTGAAAACGGGTCCTAAGTCCCTTTTCCCAGTCCTGTTGTAACTTGGAAGGGTCACTGAATGAACTGTTGTATGCCAAGGACTACCTTTATGCAAACGTTTTCTTGGTTCATCCATTTCTTTTCCTCTTAATCTTGTTTCTCCTTTCCCCACTTCCGTATCCTCTCTTTCCCCCAGCGCTCTTTACAGTAAAACTATTTAAATAATAATAATACTTTGCTGGCCACAGTAGGGAGCTTTGATTCAGATTCCGTGCCAAGAAGGAATTTTAATTGTGGGTGCGGCAAAATTGCAGGCGCGTGGAAAGGGCAGAGAAAAAACATGTTAACTTGTGTGCTGTTAACTCTTCTAAAATTCAGAAGGGTTTTTTGTTTTTTTACTGTTGCTCAGGTTCATAGAATTGTGGGGTAGAAAGGGGTCTCCAAGGGCATCTAGTCCAGCCCTTTGCAATGGACAGGAAAGACCGTGTGATAGAATTGAGACTGGGAAGGGACCCCCCAAAGTAATCTAGTCCAGCCCTTTGCAATGGGCATTAAAGTCAGTATCAGAATTGAGGACTGAGAAGGGACACCCCCCCCCCCCAAGTAATCTAGTCCAGCCCTTTGCAACAGGCAGGAAAACTAATAAGTGTCAGAATTGGAAACGGAGAAGGGATCCCCAAGAGTTATTTAGTCCATCCCTTTGCAACGGGCAGGAATGCCAGTTAGTGTGAGAATTGGTGACTGGGAAGGGACACCCAAGGGACATTCTAATCCAGGGGTAGGCAACCTTGGCTCTTTTATGACTTGTGGACTTCAACTCCCAGAATTCCTGAGCCAGCCATGCTGAGGGGAAAGGGAGAGGTTTCCAAGCTGAGCCATGCTGGCTCAGGAATTCTGGGAGTTGAAGTCCACGAGTCATAAAAGAGGCAAGGTTGCCTACCCCTGTTCTAGTCTAACTCTTTGCAATCATAGACTCTTAAAATCCTCCAGAGATGGAGAATCCACAACCTTGTCTGTTTCTAGCCTTGTTGCACGTGGGCCATTGCTGTGTTTGGCCATGATCAAAATACAGAATACCTATCTCTTAGTAAAATCGGGAGATGAGTTCAAATCCTGCAGGGACAACTCCAGAAATTAGGAAAGAGGAAACAGGCCTAGATTTCCTCAAGCAAACAGATATTTTAATTTTCTCTCTCTTTTTTTTTCTTCTTCCAGTATTACGAGATGTCCTATGGCCTCAACATCGAAATGCATAAACAGGTGAGATTTTAAGATTATTCTTGTCTCTTCAAGGGACTTTTAAGGCAGCCTTAATACCAGTATTCCTCGACTTAACGGCCACAATTGAGCCCCAAATTTCTGTTGACAAGCGAAACATTTGTTAAGTGAGATTTGCCCCATGTTACGACCTTCCTTGCCACTTCCTTGTTAAGTGAATCAATGTAGTTGTTAAATTAGTCGAATTTTAGCTAAGTGGATCCGACTTTTCCCCCATTGACTTTATCAGTAGGTTGCAAAGGGGGAATCACGTACCCCCCCCCCCGGGGACACTGCAACCATCATAAATATGAATCAGTTGCCAAGCCTCTCAATTTTGATCACATGGCCAAGGGGATGCTACAACGGTCGTAAGCAGTGGTGTGATTCAAATACCTCAACAACCGGTTCTCTGCGTGGATGCAGGCCTGGCCCTCTGAAGCCTAAAATGGACTTCTGGAAGTAGCATCCATGCACTTCCAGTGGGCTGTTCTAGGCCTGGGAGGCCTCCTCCAGGCTTTGCAGGCCTAGAACAGATTTCCGGAAGTGGCATCCATGCACTTGTGGGTCAGGCCTAGAACGGACTTCCAGAAATGGCATCCAGGCACTTCCAGTGGGCTGTTCTAGGCCTGGGAGGCCTCCTCCAGGCCTTGCAGGCCTAGAACAGATTTCCGGAAGTGGCATCCATGCACTTGTGGGTCAGGCCTAGAACGGACTTCCGGAAATGGCATCCATGCACTTCCAGTGGGCTGTTCTAGGCCTGGGAGGCTTCCTCCAGGCCTTGCAGGCCTAGAACAGATTTCCAGAAGTGGCATCCATGCACTTGTGGGTCAGGCCTAGAACGCACTTCCGGAAGTGGCATCCATGCACTTCCAGTGGGTCGTTCTAGGCCTGGGAGGCCTCCTCCAGGCCTAGAACGGACTTCCGGAAGCAGTGTTCATTCATCCGGTTCTTCGAACTCAACAAATTTAGCTACTGGTTCTACCGAACTGTTGCGAACCAGCTGAATCCCACCACTGGTCATAAGTGTGAAAACCTCATAAGTCCCTTTTTTCAGTGCTGTTGTAACTTTGAATGGTTACTAAATGAACTGTTGTAAGTTGAGGACGGCTTGCATATGCAGCTGGATCAGGAGTGGGTTTTTCTCACCTCAACTCCTTCTCCCTTGGGTTATAGTATCATTTCAGGAGCATTTGAGGTCACCGGCTACGTGCTGTCCGTGATTATATTCAGGGCCACCCTCCCCACCCCTTCAAACAAGCAGAGCCCTTACAAACAACCGGGCGTGCCCGCCAGACACTAGCTAAATATAATTGAAATTTCATTTAAATGGCATTTAAATTAAATTGCAGCTAATCCGATTTGTTCCTCCTGCGTGTCATCATCTACCTGTTCTGACTTACTGTACCTTTTGCAAAAGACCGCATCTGGTCTTTTCAAGATGCTGTGCTAGGGCAAACAAATTTAATTAAAAGCGAGGTTTATTAGCTCCACCCAGCTCGTTTCTTTATTCTTGTCTTAAATTTTTTTTTTTTTTAAACTGAGATGCAATTTTAGGCTACTGTGCAGCCCAGCCAGGGGTGAATGAATGATGGCCCTTTTAAGACCTGTGGACTTCAACTCCCAGCATTCCTGAGTCAGCCATGCTAGTTCAGGAATTCTGGGAGTTGAAGTTCACCGGTTGTAAAGGGGCCATAGTTGCCCACCCCTGGTGTAGCCCAGTAAACCTCTGCCAGCTCTTCTAACACCCATTGTTAGACCAAGTTTAAACCATGGAGCTGACTGATTTATTTATTTATTTATTTAGAAATGACCACGAATAGGAGCAGGTTGTGCTTTATTTAAGCCAAGAGGCTGAATTGTATGAAATTACAATTACGATTCCCATATCCCTTTTTTCTTAGAAGAACCAGATTCCCCCAAAGACTCGTTGCTCCTTTTCAGTGGGGATATTGGGAAATTCCACTCAGCCACCATCTGCATCAGTGTTTTTCAAAATGGCGACTTTAAGATGGGTGGACTTCAACTCCCAGAATTCCCCAAACAGTATGCTTTAAGATGGGTGGGCTTCAACTCCCAGAATTTCCCAGCCAGGAGGCTTTAAAATGGGTGGGCTTCAACTCCCAGAATTCCCAAGCCAGCAGGCTTTCAGAGGGTAGACTTCAGCTTCCAGAGTTCCCCAGTCAGTATGCTTTCAAATGGGTGGACTTCAATTCCCAGAATTCCCTAGCTGGTATGCTTTAAAATGGATGGACCTCAACTCCCAGAATTCCCTGGCCAGAATGTCCATCCATCTTAAAGTCACCAATTTGAGAAAGGCCACATAATTCCCATCTTTTCTTTAGGCGTTGGTTTTGCTCACTTTTAACCCCAAATTGTTTCCATTCAGTAAAAATTGGCATGGTCCACCCAGCTATGTGGACCTGTGCATTCACACAATGCAGCCTCCACGAATCGGTTGATAGTTCAAAGTATTGTGTGAAAGCAGAAACCTGATGAATTCCCTGGAATAAATGCATCTTTGAACAGTCCTAAGACGGTAACCTTGCCCATTGTTCAGGAAGTTCCACCAGAACGGAGAGAGTGTCACCTTCGCACAACGCAAAAGACGCAATCGTTGCACATTTTGTCATTTGCAGCCTCTCTTGTGGTATAGCCGCTGAAGGTGTCCTTTGCAAAATGCTGCAATGATGCAATAGGCTTTGGAGTTATGGGTTGTTGCTGCCAGATAAACGCACTGGCACATCCTGGTTTTGTCGCCTTGTGCCAAGCAGCTGACTGAAGTATCCTCCTCCGGGTTAACCTTGTGCCTAATCTTCCATTTCAGGCTGAAATTGTCAAGCGGTTGAATGGCATTTGCGCCCAGGTGTTGCCATATCTGTCGCAAGAGGTAATTCACCTTTCTTTGCTCTGTTAGATTTTTATTTATTTATATCCCACCCTTATTTTTACAAATAACTCAAGGTAGTGAACATATCCAGCACCAGTTCCTCCTCCTCCTTTCCCCACAACAAGAACCATGACTGGTCCTAGGTCACCCAGCTGGCTTTCATGCCTAAAGCGGGACTAGAACTCCCAGTCTCCTGGTGATTGACCCAAAGTCACCCAACTGGCTTGGCATTCATGCCTAGGGTGGGACTAGAACTCCCATCTCCTGGTGGTTGACCCAACGTCACCCAACTGGCTTTCATGCCTAAGGTGGGACTTGAATTCACCATTTCTGAGTGATTGGCTCAAAGTCACCTAGCTGACTTTCATGCCTAAGGCGGGACTAGAACTCACCATCTCCTGGTGATTGGCCCAAAGTCACCCAAGGCAGCTTTCATACCTAAGTCTGGACTAGAATTCCCATCTCCTGGTGAATGGTCCAAAGTCACCCAGCCAACTTTCATGCCTAATGCGGGACTAGAACTCACCGATTGGCTCAAAGTCACCCAAGGCAGCTTTCATACCTAAGGCTGGACTACAACTCCCATCTCCTGGTGATTGACCCCAAGTCACCCAACTGGCTTTCATGCTTAAGGTGGGACTAGAACTCACCGTCTCTGGGTGATTGGCTCAAAGTCACCTAGCTGACTTTCATGCCTAAGGCGGGACTAGAACTCACCGTCTCCTGGTGAATGGCCCAAAGTTACTCAGACAGCTTTAATGCTGAGCCAGAACTAGAACTCACAGTTGATTTGGTGATTTGTCCCAAAGTCACCCAGCCAGCTTTCATCCCTAAGGTAGGACTAGAACTCCCTGTCTCCTGGTGATTGGCTCAAAGACACCCAGCCCAGCTTTCATGCCTAAGGAAGAACGCACCCTAATTTAGCTTTGAAAAGTACAGTATCTCTGCTTGCCTTAAGGCAGGGGTCTTCAAACTTGGCAACTTGAAGACTTGTAGACTTCAACTCCCAGAATTCCGCAGCCAGCCCTGGCTGGCTGAGGAATTCTGGGAGTTGCAGTCCACAAGTCTTCCAGTTGCCAAGCTTGAAGACCCTTGCCTTAAGGGACTTACCTGCCCCAGTATCTGAATCTTCACCCATTCACATCCTCTGTTCCTACTTCAAGTAAGGACTGTAGGATTCCTCTGATTATAATGGCAGACATTGGAGTCTGAAGCAGTCCACGATCCCTCTTGAGTACAGAGTTAACGGCATTTCCCGGTGGAGGTGAGCTAAGGAGAATTGGCAGAATAATAACGCTACAAAGCAAAGATAGGATCAATAGCCGCAGGCCCCCTTTGGTGCAATCCCAAAACATCTGGAACACCACTTGAACGTCATCAGCATTAACAAAATCCCCATCGGTCGATTGCAAAAGGCACATCTGGCCACCTGCGATGGTCCCTTTAATGTTCAGTGGCAACATCTGCCTGTCCCAGGTCCTTGGGAAGGTCTCCTTAGGTGGACAGAAATGCCAAATCCGGTCCAAACATCTGGCCCAGCCTTAATAATGGCAACGCCATTTTCTGGCAGGAATTGGCTCATAAACCACACTGCCCTTTCTCTGTTGTTGGTCCTCCAGCTGATTGGTTGGGTTCATCTCCTAATTGTCTTCTCTTTCTCCTCCTCCTCCTCCTCCTCCTCCTCCCCCAGCACCAACAGCAGGTCCTGGGAGCCATTGAGCGTGCCAAACAAGTGACTGCCCCCGAACTCAATTCCATCATTCGGGTCTGTGATGCTCTTTTTAATTAGAATTGCTGGGAGGGGTGTGGGGTCTTGGAGATTTAACCATTGGGAGCAGTCCCCGTTTTCATAGATCTTCTAGTGTGATGGCCACATGACTTTGCTAGTTTAGAGCTGGGGAGGGGTGTCCCCAAACTTGGCAACGTTAAAACGTGTGGATTTCAAGTCCCAGAATAGATGCCGTCATATCCTTCCCCCCTCTGTTTAGAGAGGGCTGTTCGATCTTAACATAGATGGCCTCTTTGCCCCCTCTTTCAAACCAACAGATCTGTACATTGGGGAAAACAAAACAACCCCTTCATAAACTCACAACGTAGGAGAACAAACCCATCAGGATAAGATTCAGCAGTCCATTTTGCATTTGAAAGACAAAAGGTCGCTCTTTCGAAGACAGCAAAGTCCACATTCTGGATAGAGAGGACCGCTGGTTTGAAAGAGGGGGCAAAAAGACCATCTATGTTAAGATTGAACAGCCTCTCAACAGGGGTGGGGGGTGGGAGGGATACAACACTACCTATCTCCTGTTTACAACACAGTCCTTTCAGCAGTTCCAAGAAGGCTGCACCCCCATTTGCAATAGACCAGGGGTAGGCAACCTTGGCTCTTTTATGACTTGTGGACTTCAACTCCCAGAATTCCTGAGCCAGCCATGCTGAGGGGAAAGGGAGAGGTTTCCAAGCTGAGCCATGCTGGCTCAGGAATTCTGGGAGTTGAAGTCCACGAGTCATAAAAGAGCCAAGGTTGCCTACCCCTGGACTAGGACGAAGATTAAGAGCAGGGGTCTTTAAACTTGGCCCTTTTATGACTCGTGGACTTCAACTCCCAGAATTCCTGAGCCAGCCACGCTAAGGGGACAGGGAGAGGTTTCCAAGCTGAGCCATGCTGGCTCAGGAATTCTGGGAGTTGAAGTCCACGAGTCATAAAAGAGCCAAGGTTGCCTACCCCTGCACTAGATAAATCTCCAAGTGACCTCAGTGACTCTCAGAAGGAATACTAACGACCAGATGACTGCCAAGGATTATAAATCCTTCCATCCTCCACCATTCAGTCAGAACTGAAGAAGCTTCTTGGATAGGAAGCGGAACCTTTTCAAGGAGAAAACCAAGAAAATTCAGTTGCCCTTTGAAAAAGCATCTTTGGGACACAACCATGACTTGGATGACTGAGAATCTCCACAGACTTGTCAGCTTTAAGATGTGTAGGGCTTCAGTTCCCAGCATTTTGGAGAATTGAAGTCCACACATGTTAAAAGGACTCAAGATTGAAAAATACTGAGTTAAAGTATCTTGCTTCGGTTCTGTTGCTCTCCCAATCAGAATGCTTTCCTGTGTGGGTTGGCCTACTTTACAGGGCTCTTGCGAGGATGATGGCGAAGAATCAGGAACGCTGTTTGATTCCCCTTGGAGGAAAAAGGCAGTTTTATATTCAGCAGTGCCTATTTAAAAACCGAGAACAGGCCGGAAGTGGGCGGCTGGGTGGTAAACTCCAAATTTAATGTAATTGATGTGTCCAGCCACATTAACAGGTATATTACTTTACTGGGCAAAAACCACATCTGAGCGTGCAAACTTAATAATTGGATATTATGTAATTATATATTATATAATATCGACCGGCGTGGTGGCCTAGAGGTGAAGCCGCTCGCCTCCCACTCGGAAGATTGAGAATTCAATCTTAGGCAGATGTTTCTCTATCAGGGCGCAAAGGGAAAATATGTGGTGTAAACTCCTTGTAGGCATCAGGAAGGGCATCCATCCAGTAAATGCTCTGCTCCATTCAGTCGCCCTGATTCCACCCTGAATAAAGGGATTACAGGATTGCAAAAAGAATATATATATAATTTGTACACAGAGCACTAGAGACTGAATTAGCTCAAGTAGTGCTCAACTTAACAACAGTTCATTTAGTGACCGAAGTTACGGCACTGAAAAAAGTGACTTATGACCGTTTTTCACACTTACGACCGTTGCAGCATCCCCATGGTCACGTGATCAAAATTGAGATACTTGGCACCTGACTCCTATTTATGACGGTTGCAACAACCCGGGGTCATGTGATCCCCTTTTGTGACCTTCTGACCAGCAAAGTCAATGGGGAAACCGTATTCATTTAATACCATATTCCTAACTTAATTGCAGTGATTCACTTAACAACTGTGTAAAATAGAGCAAAATTCACTTAACAAATGTCTCACTTAGCAGCAGAAATGTTGGGCTCATGTGGTCGTAAGTCAAGGACTATCTGTGACCTATGCATAGTTGCCACTGCCTCGTTGTACCATCCCTTCCATCTGGTGCTACTAAACATGATTGCCAGCAATTTTAATTCTCTTTTTAGCCAAAAAGGGACAATTACAGATAGTCCTCTACTTACGATGAGTCATTTAGCAATGGTTCAAAGTTACGGCAGACACACACCCATCCCTCAAAATAATTACAACCTGCAAAGGCTGTCTCTGTCATAGTCAAAGGACCACATTTGGGATGCTCCAGAAACAGGCCCACATTTGCAGCCTCCTGCCATTTTTGCTGGAAATGAATGTTTATTTCTAGCTCCCAGCAAAAAATGTCCCATAATGAACAAAGAGTTCGCTTAAGGACCCCCAGCGTTCGCTTAAGGACCGGCACAAAAAAGGTTGTACAATTTGTGTCAGTCCTGTGATGATCTTTTAATGACCTTTGACCCGCTCCTGCCTTTTTTTCAGGTAGGACAGTCGGTAAGCGGCTGGTCGTAAATCAAGGATCACTTGTTCCCTGTGTTTTATTGGATGAGAAACCCATACAGGTAGTCCTCGACTTATGCCCACAACTCAGCCCAAAATTTCTGTTGCTAAGCCAGGCACATTTGTGAAGTGAATGTTGCCCTGCTTTAACAACCTTTCTTGCCTCAGTTATTAAATTATTATTGTGCAGTTATTATTATTATTATTATTATTATT